GACTCACAAGTGCTAAATGAGTACTCTACCACTGAGCTACTATACACCCTCCTCCCTGTTTATTGATTTGTTTATTTATTTAGAGACAAGGTCTTGCTAAGCTGCCCAAGCTGGCCTATCTGAGATTACAAGCATGTCCACCGTGGTTGGCTTCTTTTTCATTTTGAATTAATTGTACACTCATGTCATTGTAAAGAATGATACAGGGAGATTCTACACACAAACACCTGTACCCCGTTTCCCCCGTGGTAAGATCTTGCAAAACTACAGTACAACTGTCACAACCGGGCACTGATGCGGACACAGTCAAGACACAGAACGTTTCTGTCACCACAAGGATCCCCCATTCTCCGTTCTGTCATGCTCCCAATCCCTTTATTCCTGGTATCTTTGAATTTGTCCTCCACTCGTATGGTTGTGTATTGCAGGAATGTTATATATATGGAATCACACAATATGTACCCTTTGAGGATTGTCTGTTTCATTTAGTATAAGTTTCTGAAGAGGCAGCCCTGTTGTTGCACATATCAATAATCTGTTCTTTCTTCTGAGTGGTATTCCAGGATTTAGATGTTCCACAATTTACCCATTCATGCATTCTGATTTTTGACTATTATGAATAAATCTGCTATAAACATTCATGTACTGATTTCTGTGTGGACATAAATCTTATTTCTCTGGGATAAATATACAGTTGCAGTAGTTGTACATTTAGTGGCATTTTTCATTTTGATAAAGGCCACCAAACTGCCTTCCAGACTGGCTATATCATTTTTCATTGCCTCCTGGAATATATGAGTGATCCAACTTCTCCACATCCTCGCCAGCATTTGGTGTTGTGACTAACTGCTTATTTTAGAGATCCCGTAGGTATGTAACAATAGCTCACACTGGATCCAACTGCATTTCTCCAGTGATTAATGATGTTGAACATTGTTTGTGTGCTTATTTGCCATTGGTGTATTGTCTGTAGTGAAACGTCTCACGTCTTTTGTCTATTTTCTAGACAGTCTTTAGAGTTCTTCAGGTACACTAGCTATTATTCCTTTGTTGAATATGTGAATTGCAAATATCTTCTTCCAGTCTATAGTTCTCTTTTCATCCTCTTAACATAGTCTTCTGCAGAGCAAATTATTTTAATTTTGATGAAGTCCAATCTACCAATTTTTTTTTTTTTTTTTGGTACCAGGATGGAACACTGGACCTCATGCTTGTGAGGCAGGCGGTGGCACCACTGAGCTAAATCCCCGGGCCATCAATTTTTCTTTTTGATGTCAAGTCTAAGAACTCTTTTAGCGTTATATCCAGATGATTTATTTTCTATAATTTTACATTTCACTTTTAATTTCATGGTCCTTGTAGAGTAATTTCTGTGTGAAGTATGAGATTTTGATTCAGACCTTCCTCCTCACTCCCCTCCCTTCTTTTTCTTTTTAAACACATAGATGCCCAACTCTTCCAGCAGTGTAATTTGAAAGTTATTTTTCCTCCACTGTTTCTGCACCTTTGTCCAAAATCAACTGGGGATGTGTTTGTGGGTCTACATGCGGGTGATCTATTGATCTATGTCTAAGACCATCAGTTGTGATTACTACAGATACGGAATAAGTCATGAAATAGGCTGATTGTTCCCTATTTTTCTTTTTCAAAATAGTTCTAGCTATTTTAGCTTTTTGCCCTTTCATATAAATGTTAGAAAAATCTTATCTGTGTCTACAAAAAACAACCTTCCTGAGATTTCAATACAAATTTCATCAAACTTACATATCAATTTGGAGATAAGTAGCATCCTTACTGTGCTGAATCACTAGATCCATTAAAACAATGTATCTCGTCATCTATGTAGATCCTTTGGGTTTTTGTTTTCCCTAGTGTTTTGTAGTTTTTAGTGTACCAAGTCCTGCATGTTTTGTTAGATTTATACTTAGATTTTTCATTTCCGGTTGACTATAAGTAGTACTTTATTTTTAATTTCTATTTGCATATGTTCATTAATAGTATACAGAATTACAATTGATTTTTAAAATCTTGATCTTGTCTTGTGTGACTTTTTTTGTTTTGTTTGCTTTTTCAGATTCCTTGGAGTTTTCTAGGTAGACAATCAAAGTTGAACATAGTGGTACAAGCACGCCTGTAGTCCCAGCCACTCAGAAGACAGAGGCAGGAGGACAATTTCAGCCCAGAGTTCTAGGCCAGCGTAGGCAGCATAAAAAGACCTCGTCTCTTAAAAATAAGTAAAATAACTGATGCAGGGAATCATATTATCTGAAAGTATGGGCAGTTTTCTTTCTTCCAATCCTGGTTTTAATTTCTCTTTCTCACCTAAATGCTCTGGCTACAATTTCCTGCACCATGTCAGATTAAAATAGAGAGATTGAGCTTCCTTGTCTTGCTCCTAAAATTTAGACAAAGCATTTAGCCTTGCTCAAGTACTATGATGTTAGCTGCAAGATATCAAGTTGAAAAGGTTCCCCTGTATTCCTATTTTTTAAAGTGTCTTTACTAGGAATGGGTGTTGAATTCTACCAACTGATTTTCCTTCAACATTTCTTATGATCATATGATTTTCTTCTTTAACTTGTTAATATGGATTATATTCATTTTCAAGTGTGGAACCAGTCTTGCATCCGACCTTGTTTTGAAATAAAATTCTTCTTAAATGGTGCTGAATTCTATTTGTTACTATGTATCAAGGATTTTTGCATCTATATTCAGATTGATACTGGTCATTTACTTTATTGTACTACTTTTATCTGGTTTTGGTATCAGGGTATTATGAGTTTCATCAAATAAATTGAGAACTATTTCCTTCTCCTCTGAATCATGGAAAGGATTGCGTAGAATTGTAAATTCTTTAAATGTTTGGTAGATTTCTCCAGTGAAATAATCTATGCCTGCATTTTTTTTTTGTTTCCAAATTATAAATTCAGTTTTGTTAATAGTTTTAGGGTTACTCAAGTTATCTCTTTCACATTACATGAGTGGTAGCAATTTGTTTTTGGAGAAATGGATCTTTTCATGAAAGTGGTGTAATGTATTTGTGTAGAGCTGTTCACAGTATACCCTTATTTTCCTTCTAATTTCTGCAAGGTCTGTGGTGAAATCCCCAACCTCACTCCTGATATTGGTAACTCTTGTGTTCTCTCATTTCTCTTTGTCCATCTTGCTAGAGATTTTCCAATCTTATTAATCTTTTTAAAGAATCCATTCTCTGATTGACTTATCTCTGTGTTGTTTTCTATTTTATTAATTTCTGCTGTCTTTATTATTTCCTTTCTTCCTACTTTGAGATTATTTTGCTCTTTTTGTAGGCTCTTGAGGTGACAGCTTAGATTGTTGATTTGGGGCTATTTTTCTACCATATGTAATTAGGGCTAATTGCCTCTCAGTGCTGCTTACTGTTTAACCATGAACCACAATTTTGACATGTTTTTCTTTCTGTGTGTATGTGTGTTGGGGGGATCAAACACAGGGCCTTACACATGCTAAGCAAGTACTCTACCACTGAGCTACATCCTCAGCCCTGATTTTAATTCTGTAGCTCTTGTTTTAGAGCCCAGGATATGGTTTATCTTTGTACCTATTCAATGACTATATAAACTTCTCTTGTTGGGGGAAGTGTTCTAAAAATGTCAGAGAGATCCTGATGTCTGATGGTAGTTTTGAATTTTTGTCTTTGTTGAATTTAGGATATGTATTGGTAAGAGGAGTACAGGAGTTTTTAACTGTCATTGATTTCTCTATTTCTCTTTCTGGTTCTTTAGTTTTTACTTTATATATTTTGCAGCATTGTCATTGGGTGCATACACATTTATGTGCTGCCTTCTTGTTGGATAGGCCCATTGTCATTGTAATTGTCCCTGGTAAAAATCCTGAAGTCTACTTTATCTGATGTTAATATAACCACTCCTGCTGGAGTTTCTTTAAAATAGAACTTAAATGATGAGAATTCCAGTTTAAAAATAATTTAAGATGTAGTAAACTCTTAGTTATCCATAATGAAAATAATCTAAAAGAGTAAAGACCAAGTAGCATTGCAAAATTCACCTATTTTATTATTTATGTTTCTTTGTTGTTTTTTTTTTTCCTGGTACCAGGGATCAAACTCAGAACCTTGTGCTTGCCAGGTAGTCACAGTGCCACTGAGCTACATCCCTTGCTCTCTTTATATTTCTTTCTTATGGGAAAACAAACCAATAATAATATACAAACAGGACCCAGTACCCGGGTGCAGTGGCACAAGCCTATGATCCTAGCATTCTGGGAGGCTGAGGCAGGAACAAGTTTGAGCCCTACCTGGGCAACTTAACAAGAACCTGTCTCAAAATAAAACATAAAAGAGGCTAGCGATGTAGATCAGTGAGAAATCCCTAGCTTCAATCCCCAGGACTGCAAAAAGAGATGACAGCAAGAGTGAGGGGGTGGGGAGAGATGAATCCCAGTAACTGATATGCCAAGTTGGTTTATCCCAGTCCCTGCAGAACTTCTGTCAAGGAGCAGAGCTATAATCAGAGGTCTCCTGACTCCTATTCTGTTGGAACAATTTTCTGTGGCCTCTAAACTTTGTGGGGTTCCCCAGGCCTCACACTGCCAGAAAATCTTCCAGAATTGTAATCCTATTTCCAAATGAATTTATATACTCACTTCACACAACTGAATGATGCTTCTCAGGCCATGTTAGACATGTGGACTGTTGCTTATGTACTCTGAATATCTTTTTGAATTTTGGAATTACCTCCTGTTAGCACAAATAGGATGATTTCAATTGTATTAAATGACCAAAGAAAAATGTAGATATTTTAGCAGGGTATGGTAGTACACATCTGTAATCCCAGCACTTGGTTACCTGAGGCAGGAAGATTGCTACTTGAAGGCCAGCTTGGCTTACATAGCCAGTTCAGGACCATCCTGAACTACATAGTAAAACCCTAGTCCCTGCTTAGTAGTCCCTTATTCCATGCTGCTACCCTTGGTGGTCACACATAGAAAGTCACACTTACCATGGGTATGGACTGGTCACACTGAGGCCCCACAATGGTCCCAGGCCTCCATGTCAGGCATGGCATTCTGTGCAGTCAGGATTAATGCAAGTTTTCATCCCTTGTCCCTTGCTACCTAAAAACAATAATGGTTTTCTGAGACTTTGAAGGTAAGTATTAGAACATTATAGGATGGGTATGGAGACTCATTAACTGAATGTTTAGGGCTACTTCTCTCAAACCATTGGTACATTCATTTGAAGCAAAGCTATAATTCTCATTTTGTTTTAAGTAGGAACTACGTTCACATAGGCCAAAAAGCAAGGAACACAAAAAGGTATAAAATAAAATGTTTCACTCCAACCCCCAGCCTACCCTGTAAGTCATACACTTACCTTATTCCTTCCGAGAATCCATTTTACAAATATAAATAGATCATTCTAACTTCTCCTCCTCCTCCCTCCCTCCCTCTCTCTCTCTCTCTCTCTCTCTCTCTCTCTCTCTCTCTTTTTTCCCCATGAAAGATGGCAAAAAGGCCCTTTATAGCAGGGACTGGGAAGCCGAGCCACTCGCAGCCGTATGTCTGTGTCCTCATTCCCTAACTTCTTGGAGCCTTGGTTTCCTTATGTACAGTGAGTATAATAACATCTCACCTTGTTACGTGAGAATTAAATGAGCTAATATAAACAAAGCGTGTAAGTCAGGGCCTGACTCACACTGCGCCCTCTGCATGCGGCACAGGTACTTCAGGAAGGTGTGGTCCCAAGGCCAAGGATCCCCAAACTCAAATCTCCCTTCCTTCCCTGTAAAATAAGAGTACCTGCACTCAGGGGTCACTGTGAGACAGAAAACACACATTTATATAACATCTATATGTCACGTAAGACCCTGCCTCACCCTGGGAAGGCATGGCTATATTTCATTAAATCCAGAATGCCATGCATTGTAAAAGTACATCATTATTTTATATATTAAGAAAGAAAAACCATTCCAATTTAATTATGACCTGCCTTTGACTGTAATGTATCCTCATTTCAAATACGTTAAAAAGTGAAGAAATGCACATCTTGAAACTGATGAAATGTGGGATGTAAGTATTTGCTATTCCACTCTTATTCTCACTTAAAAATACATCTTGGATTTTGTTCTGTGCTGGTACAAAGACAGCTTTCTCCCTCTATTTTAAATGGCTATATAGTGATCCATTGCAACACGTTCCATGAATTATTTAACCAGCCTCCTATTAGTTTCCAGCCTGTCACTGTTACAAGCCACATCGCCATGAATAACCTTGTAGGTCTGTCACCTCGCAAGTCTGCCAGGGTGCGTGAAGGATCAGCGCCCAGAACCAGAACTGCTTGAACAGGGCATGAATTTGAAACTTTTGCAGGCATCTGAAGTTCAAGTTTTAAATGGCACAGGTGCTTCAAATAAGGAAAGAAAGGCTGGGCCAGCCTGGTGAGAGGAGAGATGTGTCAGAGGTCCCGCAACAAGGGGGACAGAACATTTTCACACACTGCTGGGGCCACGTAAGTTGGTTAGACTTTCTGAAAGGTGTTTTGGCTCCATCTTTCTAAGTCTACTTTTTCTGTTTGTTTTTTGAGACAGGGTCTCACTTTGTAGCCCAGGTTGGCCTCGAACCTGCAGGGATCCTAGTGTCTCAGCCTCCCGAGGGCTGTGATTACAGGTGTGTGCCGCTATACCTGGCTTTCTAATTCTACTGCTAAAAAGCTACCTTACAAAAATACTGGCACCTGCTGCACAGACACAATAATAATAGCAGGTGTGATGTGGCAGACACAGTGCTTGGAGGTTGCAGACCTGAACACGTCCTGTCCTCCAGGAACTACTGTACAAGGCAGGGGCTACTTTGCCAATTTCACAGCAGGAAACTTGAAATATAGAGAAGGTGAAGCTGGTAAGCACAGAGACAGAATAGAACCTAGCAGCCCGGCACATGTCCGCACTCTGAAGTGTACAAATATATTCTTTTGAAAGGATAAAAAATTAGAGAACCCTTGAAACTTGAAATATAGAGAAGGTGAAGCTGGTAAGCACAGAGACAGAATAGAACCTAGCAGCCCAGCACATGTCCGCACTCTGAAGTGTACAAATATATTCTTTTGAAAGGATAAAAAATTAGAGAAATGTTCCCAAGTGACACGGGGCATGAGGCACAGGCCTGTAACCCCAGCACTCAGGAGGCTGCAGCAGGAGAATGATTCTGAGTTCAAGTCCAGCCCAGACTACACAGTGAGACCTTGTTTGAACAAAAACAAAACACCCAAAACCAAAACTAACCAAACAGAAAACTAAAAGTGAGCTAGGCAGTATTATCACAAACGCATGCTGCAGAAAACAATGCACACAAGAATAAAATAAATCTTGATATACCAATGTCAATGTCTACAATGTATTATCTTGTCAAAATAAATTTTAAAGGGGAGCCAGGGATGTGGCTCGGTGGTAGAATGCTTGCCCAGCATGTGCGAGGCCCTTGGTTCAATCCCCAGCACTAGAAACTACAATAAGTCTCCAACTTTTCAACTCACCTTCCTCCTTCATCTTCCATTTTTCCCCCTATTCTTCTATCTTAAAATGTAATGTGTGTGTGTGTGTGTGTGTGTGTGTGTGTGTGTGTGTTACAGACCGTTTCATTTTCCTGTTGCTAACCTTTCCATTATTCTTCTCTGAGGTCTTATGGGTCACCAGGAGGGCTTTCTGGATCCCAAATAGTTCCTGAACTGCTAAATTCCTTTTGTCCAGAAGCCAGAGGAGTCTGCCATCTCCCAGTCGTGATTGGAGTCCCTGAGCTATAAGTTATATCTGGGGCTTTACAGCAAAAAGTGACAAGATTTATTGCCTTCTTTGGGGTCTTTCCAGGGAGCTCTCATCCTAATATGGAATCAATGTGCTACTGGCTATTGGCCCTTGGTGTTTATGCTTCCTGTTCTTTTGCCTTTCCTTTTGTTGTAATCAGGGTTTGCAAGGCAATAGTTCTCATATAGGACATGTAATTTATAGGATTATTTTATAATATTCACCCAAAAAAGTTAAATGCTGAGGAGTACAAGAGATCTAACAGCACACTAGAGACCCAAAGAATTCAGCCAAGGACCTGGATCCCACAGCAATGTCCCACACAAGTCCAGCTGAAGGCCTGTGTCCAAGGCAGTGTCCTCCATGAGTTCAGCCAGTGGCCCAGAGCCCACGGCAATGCCTCATGCTTGTCAGTATCAAGGATCTGCTCCAGGAGGCCCAAAGGCCAGTGGTAGAAGCCAGAAAACCTGCACTAGCCGGGTGAAGAATCTGTGCCACCAGGCTGAGGGATCTACAGCAGAGCCAGGAAGTGATGCTCACGGTAAAGATCAGCGCTCCCCTGACCAGAATAGCAGCCATTCCCAGTGACAGCGAGGAATGGAACTCCTCCGATGAAAATAGCCAAGTTCCCCTCAGGAAAAACACCCTCAGCAAGCTTCTAGAAAATCTCCAGGCCACGATCTTCCCCTCCAGTTCTCTTTTTATGCCGCTGACAACAAGCCTCAGGTGGGTCTTCCACTCCCAGACCACTGTGATTAAGTTCAACTGGGTGTTGCAAGTTGCCCTAATCCACCACCTTTTATCTTCCTTAACTGAAACAGTATCTGAATTTTCTTCCACTTAAAGAACTCTTCTAAATGTCTGTTCTTTTCACCTGTACCTCCTCCCCCTCCTCCTCCCCACACCCCGTTTCTCCTCCTCTTTTGTGATCCTCCTGCCTTGGGCTCCTGAGTGCTGGGATTACAAGCCTTCACCACCACACCTGGCACAGCTGTTCTTCTTTCATGATAGAGAGCAAATATGTTTTGTTTTCATGGTACTGGAGATTGGATCCAGGGCCTTCACACTGAACCACATCTCTAGCTCTTTACTTTTTTTTATTTTGAGACAAGGGCTCTCAAAATCAAACCAGTTGCCCATTCTGGGCTCAAACTTGCCATCCTCCTGCCTCTGTGTCCCAGAGTGCTCAAATAAGGAAGAATCTTGCTCCCTGGTCCTGTGTCATCTCCAGACAGTTGTTGACAGAGAGACCCTTCAGGTCCTCCTTGGTGGTTCGGGGAACACGTCACCCTCTCTTCTCCTTCCTCCATGGCCCATGCAGCTCTGCAAAGCTCCACATTTCCCTCTGAGATCCCTCGTAGTTTCCACAAGTCTTTTAAACAGGAATGAAAACAATACTTCCTGGATTGCATCTTACTCCCTGGAGTCCAGCATCTCATTGGCTCTTGGGAACCCACAATTTCCCTATTCTGGTCTGTCCTTGACGGATTATTTGGAAGTACTCTCGGAACTTTGGTTCATGACCATTGATTGCTCCGTGGTCTCACTTCAGTGGCCTCTTGATGGGGCCGAGAGAACGCATCTTTGAGAGCACGGCCGAGCAACTTCTGATATGTTCAGCTCGGTCCTGTTGAAAAGCAGGCATCCCTCCGTCCTGTGCCTCACTCGTGGTGCCATATTTACAGTGTTTCTTCTTTTTCTCCTCTATATTAAGTCAAAGTATAAAAGCTAGAATAGAAACTGGGCACAGTGGGCATACCTGTAATTCTACTCAGGAGGATACAGCAGGAGAATCCAAAGTTCTAGGCCAGCTTGGACAACTTAGCAAGAACCTGTCTCAAAACCTAAAAATAAATAAATAAAAAGGGCTAGGAAATAGCTCAGTGGCAGGAGGCTTGCCTAGAATTCAGGAAGGCCTGGGTTCAAAACTCAGTGTCAGAAGAAATTAAAATGATTGTGTCTTCACATAAATATGTAATTCTGGTATTAGGTCACTTTCGGGAGTCCAGCATCTTCTTGGTAGAAGGAGATACATAATATAGGGAAAGGTGTTATGTCACTAGTAGCCTCCTCTGTTCAAAGAAAGACTTTAAACAAAGTCAATTTAATAGGATCTCATTAAACAAAGAAAGATTTCTGAAACTAGGTGGCCTACAGACCTTGGACAGGTCTAGAAACACAATGTCATGCATCTGTCTCCATAACATCTATGGACATAAAAAGGAAGTGACACACAGAAAACAGAAGTGATGTGCAGAGACAGACCCACTGGCTAAAGCTTAGCATTCACCTCATTTGAACCTGGTTTGAATAGTTGGCCGCCTGTGATTTGACTGAAGCTTGGCTTTGGTGATTGGCTGAGACTTAACTATGTTAAGGCAAATTCTTAAGTTTTTGGTTTGTTTTTGTGTTGGGTTAGATTGCAGTTTGTTACACAAGGCCTAGGGCATATAAGTACGGAGGCTTTCTCAGGCTAAATTTAGTTTGATTTAATGCCACTAGTTTCTTTTTTCTTTGACATCACCCTGGGTCATAAATGGCCATACTGTCTGATCCAATTAAATTTGGGCCCTGCTACAACTCAGGGTGCTGCCAGGCTCCCGGTTTACTCCTGCCCTATGGGGGCTCTGCTTAGCTGTTCCTTGCCCCGATTCTCTCTGTTAAATTTCTAGCTGGTCTACAGTTTAACCTCCTCTTAACTTCTTACCACCAAAATCTGCATTGTTTTCCAAAACCCTTAGACATGAACTTTCTCAAGTTTCACTCCAAATAAAATCAGTTCTCTCAGGGAGAACAACACAAGTTCTCCTTTCCCTCTGGGGAGAACTTTCAAGCCACTGCCCGGAGCTGGGGGTGGGCACAGCAGGCCATCCCTCACGTATAGGTGTTGCTTTATTCCAGCACCATATGCTGGAATGGGTGTCCATTTTACCATTAAATTAATTACCCTGGTACCTCTGTTAAAACTCTGTTGCTTCCATGTTACCCTCTTTCTGGATTCTTAAGTTCCCTGACCTCGATGTCTAACATTCTATCAACACAACCGTTGTGTTTACTGTCAATTTATAGTAAATCTTAAAATGGAGTAGTGTAAATCCTAGCACTTTGTTCTTTTGCAGTACCGTTTTGGTTATTAAATATCCTTTGAAAAACAAATCTTGTTAATTTCTTCCAGCAAGGTGTCCGGAATTTGGATCCAGATTTAACTGAACTTATAAATCAAAATGGGAAAAACTGGCTCTTAAAAATATGAAATTTTCTAGCTGGGCCTGATGGCGTACGCCTGAAATCCCAGCACTCGGGAGGCTGAGGCAGGAGGACTGCCTCAAGTTCGAGGCCAGCCTAGGCATATGGTGAGTTCCAGGGCAACCCAGACTATATAGCAACGACATTTGTTTTGTTTTTTGTTTTTTGAGACAGGGTCTCACTATGTAGTTGAGACTGACCTGGAACTCACTATGTAGCCACTGCGCCTGGCTCACATTTCATTAAAAAAAAGAAAGAAAGAAAAGAAAAGAAAAAAGTGAGCAGTCAGTACTCCTGGCCATCATCTCACCACTGGGTAGTCTGACCAACACATTTTTGATGAGCAAAAGTAGGTCAGGAGATCTGTGACTGGCTGAGTAAACTTCTGAGCTAGAACTTGAACCCAGATCTCAGTTCATTTCTAACTCTGGTTTGGGGGCGTGTACAAAAATGGAAGGTGTTTCCTGTTAGTCACATGAAGAGACCTCGGTCACCGGGCAGATAAGTTTTACCTAAGTAACAGGCGGAGAAGATAAACTGTGGGCAGCTGTTTTCTGCCTCGAGGCCGAAACGCCAACTCCTGAGATGAGCACCTGAGGCTGGCCGGCAGGGCGGGCTGCTGGGAAGCCCCGAGCAGGCCTCCTCTCTGCCGCTCCTCCCTCCGACCCCTCTCTCATCCACCTGCACCCTTTTATGGTCCAAAGCCACACCTGACCATCCAGAGAAGCCGTCCCTGGCAGCACACGCCACTGAATTCTTTCCTGGGAATCTCACTGACACTCACTCTCTGCTATGTGCTGGACGGGTGGCTTTGTAACTTTGTGAATTCTGATCTAGAGTCAGAAACACATATTTTACTTCCTCTCTCCCTCTGCATGTGTGTGGGGAATGGTGTCTCCCTGTGTAGTCCAGGCTGGCCTCAAACTCCAGGAAATTCTTCTGCTTCAGCTTCCCGAGTGCTGGGATCACAGGCGTTCCATCTCTCTTTCATTATCTACACGCGCACACACACACTGAAAACTCTATGGGACTTCATTCCATCTCTTTTGCCATCATGCCCTCCGAGGTGTCTATGCTGGACCTCGTTCCCAGCCGACAACAGGAGTAAATGGCTCTCTGCCCATTTGTCCTTTGGCTTCTGGAACTCAAGACCCTGTGTGACCCTCCACGTCACAGTACCTGCTGCCGTTCTCGGTGACGTTGGATGTGCTCTTCCCACAAGGCTTTTCACTCTCTTAGGCGTAAAACCGTCCTCACTGTAAGAACTCAGGCCTGCCCTCCGCATTCCGGAAGCTCAGAGACCCCAGCTGTAACTTCCGGTTCCAACTTCCGGTGCCCCCATCTTCCTCTCGGCGCACGTTTGCGCCTCCATCTGGTTTATATCCCTGGCACGTCGGTCTCGACAATGTCCAGCAGATGTTAATTGAAAATTAGCAAAAGAACACCGTTCTTCATTTCATATAGTTAATTAAACTTCTTCCATTCCACATGGTCCCCATCCCTCAGCCGTTTTAATGACGCAGTTGTGGCAGAGGGGGAAGGTGGATTCTGCAGTTTCCAGTCCAATGGGAGGTGTTCCTTGCCCAGAGGGGATCAGGATTCTGATAAACTGGAATGCATAAATATACCAATAAATAGTCAACGATCGACTTTTGAGTTTCTAAAGTTTTTTTTTTTTAATCCACAGCTGAAGCAGGTGTAAATGTCTGTAGTGCCAGCTACCCAGGAGGCTGAGGCAGGCAGCTTCCAAGGTTGAACTCAGCTTGGGCAATTTAGCAAGACCTTATTTTAAATTTTTAAATGGGCTGGGGATGTGACTGTAGGGATAGAGCGTTCACCTAGCACGTTGGAGATGTTGGCTGGGCTGGATTCTCGGTACTGCAAGAGGTGGAATAAATTTTAAAAATTATAAAGCTCATGGCTGAGACAATCATCTTAAAAGCCAAGGCTTTTGATTTGAAGAGAAGAAAGGATTCATGCCAGAGAAACTAGGTCATAAGGCTTATGTTACAAGCAGCAGGTTGAGAAGTAGGTGAAAGCCAGTGTACCCTACCACAGCCCCAAAGCAGGATAGGGAGGGGCCACCTGTGGTAGAGGAGGGGGAGTCAGTGGGCAGGGAACAGGCCTGGAAGGGTGAGGTGAGGAGGAGTTTAACACCAAGAAGCTGAAGGGGCTGAGCACTCACATAATCCCTGCACTTTGGGAGGCTGAAACAGGAGGATCAAAAGTTCAAGCCCAGTTTGGGCGATTTAGCAGATCCCTTGCTCAAAATAAAAAATAGGAAAAAAAAAAAATCAAAAGCACTAGGGACGTAGCTTAATGCAAAGACCCTGGGTTCCATCTTCAGTACCACAGAAGTAAGAGGGGGAAAGGAAGAAGAGGCAGGGCAGGCAATACCCACTGGGCATCTGTTGCCACCCTGGTGCACCTGGCAGGGGAGGGGGACCTGGGAAGTCCTGGGACTGCTCGCTCATCCTGCCACCTGTGCTGGCACCCCCTCTTCTGGTCTGGGGTGTTGTGAGGAGGGAAGCCCCACACCCAGGCCTAGTGATCTGAACTAAAGAAGCCCAAGATTGTGTCCCAGGAAAAGCAGCTGTGGCCATCCCTAGCCTTATAGTTACAGAATACCTTCCTCACTTATTGCCAAAAATTCTGTTATAAAAAATTGCAGACATTTGAAAAGAATACAGCCAGTGCGGTGGTACATACCTGTAATCCCAGCATTCAGGAGGCTGAGGCAGGAAAATTACCACTAGTTCAAGGCCAGCCTGGGCTACATAGTGAGACCCTATCTCAGAATAGAATAGAATTTATTCCATCATCTGCTAACCCAGAGATAATCACTACTGGTCATCTCATCTTAGTCCTTCTGGACGTTTTTGTCTGCTCTGCATATAAATTTTAATTATAATCTAGATCGAAACCTCTAAGATCAAGAACTGTATCTTATTTCTTTAGTTCCAGTATTGAGGACAATAATGGATACATTAAAGATGTTTAATCAGTATTTGGTTAATGTTTTTTGTTTTGTTTTGTTTTGTTTTGTTTTTTGGTTTTTTGAGACAGGGTCTTGATATGCATCTTAGGCTGCCTTTGAACTAACTATGCGGCCCAGGAGAAGGGACTCCTCCTGCTTCAGCCTCCTGAGTGCTGGGATCACCAGCATACACCATCACTCCAAGCTTAGTTAAATTTTTTATGCAGTATTTGGGAATTGAACTCAGGGGCTCTCTACCACCAAGCAATGCTCTCAGCCCTTTTTATTTCTTATTTTGAGACAGGGTCTTGCCAAGCCAGGCTGGCCTGGCTTTCACCATCCTCTTGCTTCAGCCTCTGAAATAGCTGAGATTATAGGCGTGTACAATCATGCCCAGCTTGATTAATTAATTTTTTAATAAAAACTGACTGAAAAATCCCAGTAGGCCAAGAAAAAGAATCTGTTTTCAATTATTATTGCAAATGACTTTTGGACACTGTGAATCTGAGGGACCCTAAGGAGTTGGTTGGGAGAGAAAATCCCTGGGGATTGAGGGGGAGTGTTTTGAATCCTACTGTTAAGAAGCCCCAGCCAGAGCTGGGTGTGGTGTTTCACACCTATAATGCCAGCACTTGGGAGGCTGAGGCAGGAGGATTGCCATGAGTTTGAGGCCAGCAAGGGCTACAGAGTGAGTTTAAGGACAGCCAAGCCCCAGTCACGTCTTTAGGTGATAAATGACCCAATACATTTTTTAAGACTTTGTCCTGTCGTCTGTCAGGTAGCCCAAAGGACCTTTGCTAGGCAAGGTGCAGCCATCATGGTTCTAAATCCCAGCTGGTGGTAGGAGTGGTTTATAAGAGGAGTATGAAGCCCCTTCCTCCGTCTGCCCATCATAGCCCTCCCTTACCTCGGGCTCCCTTCAATCTCCCTGACCACTATTCCAGCTCCACCTAGGGACCAGAGAGCTTGAGGGATGCTTCTGTTTCCCTTGTCAGCTGGAGCCTGGGAGCCCGGGAACCAGGGCTGGGCAATGGTCTCTCCTGCATCCCTACCCCTGCCGGTCCTTTTCTGCCTTCTGCCACCTCCTCAGCCCCAAGCCTCATGGAACTGCAGACTCCCCAGGCAGAAAGGGCCCCTCCCTGTCATGCTCTGTGTGGGAAACTGCTCAAGGTCACAGAGCAGATCTGGGCCGGGCTGGGAAGACAGCCTGAGCCTCCTTCCAGTTCTTTGGGCACAGAGCCCATGCTCTGCAGTCTCCAGGGAAGGAGAGCGGAGCCCCCGCTGCTGATCCTGGAGACAGCTGACCCAGAGCGGCCTCCTCCTCCTCCTTCTCCTCCAGGGTCTCAATCCTGGCTGTCTCCTGTGCCTGCTTTGCCCAGTGACCCCTTGCTGGGTCACAAATTCTGGGGTAGGGTTGGAAGTGGTGGAAGGGCCCCAGTTCAGAACAAGAACCTTGATAGAAAGGCCAGAATCTGCCACCTGCTGGCTGGATTCAAGTTTCTAGCAAATTCTTCCTGATCTTTCCACGTTGCTGTGATCGCTGTGACCTTGACATCCAAGCTGCCCGTCCTCTGGGACCCCGCCTCTGTCCTCCCACCGAAGCCCTGGCTGTTAGTCACATTTGCACCAGCAGCCCACCCCGGGGGTTTGTGTATGAAGCTGACTCTGGCAGCACCAAGGAGACGCTCCAGGCAGTGACTGGCGGGTGTCAGGGAGGGGACACAGGACAGAGCTTCCTACAATCTGCAGACCCAATCTTGTAGCTGCTCATCTCCTCTCTCTGAGCAGGGCGGATCCTTTTGTTCTTGTTACTGATTCAAATTCCAAGGAAAGACGGGCTGCAGGTTGTTCCCAAATAGGAAACACATGGAGGGCCAGGAGCTTCTGCCAGCCGCCCCTTGGGGACTGTTTCCTCCCTGCACTGCAGGCCTGCGGGCCCCAGAGGGATCTGGTAATGCTTCCTCTGGCCAAGGCAAGTGTCTGACTCTGCACCATCACCACAGCCCTTCTAAGTAGGAACAGGGGCAGGGTTTGGAGGAGTTTTCAGCATGAAGTCATTTCCCACAGTGGAGGAGTGGCCACGTCCTGTATGCCCAGAGCCTGGAGAATCTGAAAGTGCCTGAGCCACACTGGATGTGGCGATCCTCCTGCCTCAGCCTTCTGAGTGCTGGGATTACAGTTGTGCACCACCATGGCTGGCCTCTTCTACAGCTTTAGAGACTTAAAACTGTGTGTAGGCCACATTCTAACTGGCAGAGGATCAGCGTAACAGACTGGGCACAGAATCCACCCTGGAATATGAAGAATTATGTGGACACAGACGGGAACAGGGGACTAGTCAGTCTCTTACCAAGCGCAGTGGGGCGAGTGGGCCCTGGGGCTGAAGGGGGAGCAGGTGGGCCCTGACAGGAGATAATTTTCTGTAACAAGCAATGTTTGACGAGCTGCTCAGTGGGCCCAGAATTGAGGACCCGCAGGACAGAGGTACCAATGTCAGAGACCCAGCTCCGAGAATAAGGAGCTTGTGAGCACCAGGCTTCAAACGAATTCCGTTTCCTTCAAGCCCAGGCTTTGTGAACTGACCTGGAGCAGAAACCCTGGGGCTGTCGATCCTGTGGGTCCTGTTGGAAGCTGCACTTCTTTCCCACTTCCTGGTGAACTTGTTTGACCACTCTTGCTACACAATGGTTTGGGCTTGGGGACCGTTGCTGCTGCCATAATGGAAACCTCAGCTGTCAGACCAGGAAGGGACCTAGGAATTGTCCCCACCCCTCATTGTATAGATGGAGAAAATGTGGGCAGAGAGGAAAAGCGACTTACTCTGTGTCACACAGGCCACCCCTGAGGCCTCCCTCTTCCTCCTCGCCCTCCTCTCTGCCTGTTCTGGGCCCTTCCGAGTGGCCTGCAGTGCCCAACCTGCAGCCTGCCCAGTCTTCACCTGGGCAGCCCCAGCTTGGTGTGGCAGCGTAGGTGTGCACCATCCTTGGAACGAGACACGCCCTGCTGTTCTCTTAGGACAGGCTCCACCCCCAGCTGGGCCTCCTGTGGCCTTGGACCCAGAAGAGCCACATCCCCAGGGCTGAGTGACCTTCCTGAAAACTGGAAGAGCAGAATCATTCAGACCAGCCATGCAGACCCTCTGAGCCAGGGGTGTGGAATTGTGCGCGGTCACCCTGGAATTGCCATTTGGATGTAAGATGCTGGTTCCCCAGACCCCAGACAGCTGCTGAATAACAGAGCAGCGGATCTCAACTGGGAGTGATTTTGATAACCCAAGGGATCCTGGGTAATATCTGGGACATTTCTGCTTGTCACAAGTGAGTAGGGTTGGCATGGCATCTGATTGGCTGAGGCCAGGGATTCTGTAAACATCTTACAGTGCATGGGACAGCACCTCAACCCCCACCAAGAATCATCTGGCCCCGAAACACCAATGTGGGCAAGAACAATGGAAGAGAAACCATGACGCCATAGCTACAGTGCCAGTCTGTCATTCCAGAGGCGAAGGGGCCGTGTGTGTGCGCGCGCGCGCGCGTGTGTGTGTGTGTGTGTGTGTGTGTGTGTGTGTGATGGGTGTTGACCATCAAAGCACCAAGAGCAGGAACCCCCCAGGGGCTAAATGAGGTGGCCACGCCCATGTGTGATAACTTGAAAACATTTTATTTCAATTCTATCCTTGGGAGGCAGCATAAATAATCACAGAAGACCACAAAGGTCAATGGGGAAGAAGAAAAAGAAGCTCTGGAAGTGAGGAGGGGGAGAGGGGAGCTGGCACCATCTACTGCAGGGAGGGCAGGGAGACCCTGTGCCCTGGCAGGAGGGTGGGGGCTCCCTGCCCGTGACCCAGGGTCTCTGCGGACAAGACTCCTGCAGGTGCCCTGGGGAGGACAGGCGTGGAGCGTCCCCTACCCAGCAGTTTCCAGCCAATGAGAGAGAGGGACACTCCTTTCTGGATTCCCAGATCCTCTCAAACTGTGACTTTTCTGAAAACAGTGATTTTGGATTCAGCATGGATGGTGAGAAATGCAAGGAGAAAAAGAGGAGGAAAAGATGAAAATGTGCAGACGACTGAATGAAACACGGCATCTTACAGCGCCGCCTGCCCTGGGGCCACACTCTGTGTCCTCCGCAGCACAGTGGGGCAGAGGTGAGGCTCGGTGACCTCCCAGGGGTCAAAGAACTGAGTAGACTTTAAAGTGCTGTCCTACGGGGGTGGCTGTGGTCATTCTACGTGCGTAAGGCTGAAAGTGGTTGAGAGCGCGGTGGGCAGAGACGCACAGGTCCCCAGAAGCCATCAGACCCTGCTCTGCAAGCCCGGGACTGAGCTCCACGCTTCTCGGCCTTGGCTTCGGGAGGAAGAGGCCTCCCCTCAGATGGAGTCCCCTGGGGTGGAGCCAAGGGTGCAGGCCAGGAGGGTCCGGGGCCACCAAGTGCCCTCAACGGGGCAGTGTGGCACACGGGCACTACAGGTATCGGCTGACGGTAGAAGTGGCTTCAGCCCTGATTCCGGAGAACCCAAGGGCGATGGGCATCTGGATGCAGAGGAGGGGGCCTGGCCTTGGGGTCTGGACACCCAGGGTGCACTGTTGCCCTGCTGGGTGACGTAGTACATCGCCCCCCACGGCAGCCCTCAGTCGTGTCACTGACAGATGGGGACGTGAGTCCCTACCCTGCCTAGCTCACACAGTCAGCAGGGAAAAGGGTGTGCAAGAGCTCTGAAGAGAATCACGGGGCGGCGAGGGTCGTTATGGCCTTAGAAAGCATCCGCTTCATTCCCTGAAGACAAGGGCCAGGAGGGGAAGAGCCAGAAGGGTGAGTCAGGTTCCAGGGCTCTTGGGACACAGGGACCCCGGCCTGCGGTCCAGCCCCACCATAGGCCCAGCAGGGACCCAGAACTGGGAGTGCCCACTTGTCCTGGCAGCCCCTCGGCAGGGAAAAGTTCAAGTTCTAAGTCGAGCTGGGATCTGCATCCCCCTCTGTCCCTGGTCCATGGAGGGCACCCCTTGGAGAATCCATGGTCCTGGCCCAGCCAAGGGGAAGCCTGGCTCCTGGGGAGGCAGGAAAGGGGTATGGGTGGGGTTCTCTGGGAGAGGCTGGGGACCGGGATTAGCATGAGGTCAGAAGGTCAGGAGGTCAAGGGTCAGCTTCCAGTTGTTGAGGTGGAAGGTGGGGGCCTCAGGTTGGCCCCTAGCTCCAGCCCTGGCTCTGTCTCTAGGGCCACCGGTTAAAGGGAAGTGAAGAGACGAGCAGAAACCACGGAGATCGGCTTGGAGAGCAGCCCGGAGCTAGCAGTTCTTGGGGCTGTTGCGCAAGTTTTTCAGTTCCAGCTGGAGCTGCCTAATGCGGACGTCCTTCTGAGCCAGCTCTTCCTTCAACCGCCGGATCTCGTCCTGCTGCCGGAAGAACATCCGGAGGAGCTGGGATGGGAGAGGAGGCCAGGAAGATGAGAGGAGAGATGAGGAGAGGTTCGGGAGGGGTTTCAGGCACCCTGCCATGCCTGCCTCTCCCAGCCTCTCACCCTCACCCTGCTCAGTCTGGGTCCTGCTCCTCTCCCAAGACAGGAGGAAAGAAAAATGCAGCCTTCCCAGCTCACTGATCCCTCCCTCAAAAGAGGTCCAAACCTAAAGATCTCTTTACCATCCTGGATGAAAACTTTTCTAGTGTTTTGTGCTGTATGCTGTGTGTCTGTCTGTCTCTTCTTTCTCAGGATTGAATCCATTTCCTCTGCACTGAAGTACATCTCCAGGCCGTTTGAGACAGCCCACTGGCAGGGAAAAGTTCAAGTTCTAAGTCAAGTTGTTCTCAGGCTCCTAAATTCTTGGTTTTTAGTCTAAGTCTAAATTGTTACATTCTCCAGACTGAGCTCAAAATTGGGATCTTCCTGCCTCAGCCTCCCAGCATGCTGGGATTACACATATGCACCCACATCTGGCTTGCATCCTTCTCTTATTAAGAAGATTCAGGGTACAAAATGGAACCTAGCTTTTTTGTTTTCTTTGGTTTGTAATTCTGGGGTCCAACACAGACCCTCATACTGTACCACATCCCTAGCCCTAGAACTTAGCCTTTGGAACACAAGACTGTGACAGGAAACACTAGAGTTTTCACTGGGCCAAGCACAGTATCTCGGCAGGCCCTCCCTCAGTCGTTCCTTGGGATGACCAGTTTCTCCACTTCCTCCGGGAGACACATCAATAGGTGGCTACAAACACGGCACTCTGGAAGGCTGCCGGCTACACACAGACCCTGCAAAAAGAGTGGAGTAGCACCCATGGCCAGTCGTGTCTGTGTGACTCTGGTGAGAATGGCGTTTGCTATGGTAATTGCACAGTGTTTTTTGAGACAGAGTCACAGAGTCTCACTATGTAGTGCAGGCTGGGCTCAAATTCAAGATAATTCTCTAGGGCTGAGGATTAGGCTCAGTGGCTCCACCGCCTGCCTTGCAAGTGCAAGGTCCCGAGTTCGAGCCCTGGTTCCCCAAACAAAAAGATAATTTTCCTGCCTCAGCTTTCTGAGTGTTGGAATTAGGTGTGCACTACCACGCCCAGCATTTTTGTCCTCTTAGTAAATAATTATCTGGCCAGTTGTCTCAAAACTTCTTTGCATAGATTTTTAGATCCAATTTTGTCAAAAAGCAGCTTTACTAAGGTATAGTCTGTATACAATAAAACGCACCATTTTTACTGCAAACAGGTACTAATAAAAACAAAATGCAAAAAATTCAGCATCTAAACCTACAATTCAATGATTCATTAGTAAGCTACTGAGCTGTACAACTGTAAATCACACTCTCAGTCCCAAGTTCTCATCAGTTGCTCCCAGTCAGCTTTGGTGCTTAAAACTACAGGTAGCGAGGGCTGTGGTTCCATACCTGCCTCACACATGCAAGGTCCCGAGTTCAATCTCTGGTACCAATAAAAACAAAACAAAACAAATCAAGAAACTACAGGTAGTGCTAGGGGCCACAGGCTTGAGCAAGCTCTTTCTAAGAAGGAAGACGCCCAGCTTTAGTGAAGAGAGACCACGGCGTCTGCCTCATCTGTGCAGAGACCCTTGGAAGTCTGCCCCAGGTTCTCAGTTCTAATTCACACACACAAGCTCATAGCTCAGTGTTCCTTGACTTAATGCTCCCTTGCCTGTTCCCTCCATACCCAGTGCAACGACTGAGTTCAGGATTCACGGCTGCCTGGTTGTGCTGTTGCAGCAACTCATGTACAGCAATTCAACCCACAGAAACTGGGGGATAATGAACATCTGTGGGTTGAAGTCATTAAGTTCTGGGGTAATTTGTTACACAGCAGTGGATAGCTGATACGGCTGGCCTCTTTCCCAGAGCACTTTGTATGAATCATCTTTCTAATGCCCACTGAATTTTTCTATCTCCATTTCTCCATGAGGAAATGGACACAGAAAGGTCAGGAAACTTGCTCAGTCACAGGGTGGAAGAGGAGGAGCCAGGAGCCACTTCAGGTCTAGCGTGTGGCACACGGCTGAGCTGAGTGGGACCGGCACCTGGGCCTGGGGGAGACGCATTAGAAGATCAGACAAGACTCGGCTGTGGGTGCCCCTGAATGAGCTGGGCTCTACCCCCATGTGGTTGGTCCCAGGAGCCTTTCCTAAACAGCCAGCCTCTTCCACAAGACCAGAAAGTGTCACAGCTTGTCACCGCCACACACCGGGGAGGAAGGCCTGGCCACGATGTACCACTCCTGTGATAGCAACATCCTAAAGTCGTTTCTGGAGGAGATGCCAACTCCGTGTTCTTGCATTTGACGGTGGGGGTCGTGTGTGGCCACACCCGTGTGACACCCCAGCCTCTATTTATGGGGGTCAGAGGCCGTGCAAGCCGGTGGCAGGCTGCTTATGGTATTTGTCCCCAAAGGACAAACGCCTCAACGTGTGCTGGCTTCTGGGCCTGAAGCCCATAATTAAAACGTAAAGCTCTCGCTCCTCCAGGGCCCACGGAGGCAGTAACTTATATCTTTTACCTCGTTCTCTGTCCTGGGTGGGACATTTTCTAATAAATCTATGCCGTTGACCACGATGCTTTTCTTCTCTCTGATGGGAGCTTTAAACACCACTTTGGAGGACCTCTTGTAGCCCTCCTTCAGGGACATGAGCACAGGGTCTAGGAAGCAGCAAAGGCATCATGCTGACCGCTGCCGGAGGGCAGTGGGTGTCAGGGGCTGCAGGCAGGGGACCGGGAGAGCGAGGCCAAAGGCAAAGGGGCAGCCTCCGGCCTCTTCTGTGAGGTACCTCGGTTGATGCCGCCCAGCCACTCATCCGGGGTCAGAGCTGGCTCCGTGCCCGGCGTCATGGGGTAAATGTCTTCCTGATAGGAATCCGACTGCAGGGGCAGCAGGAGGGAGTGAGACAGCCCTGCCCCCAGCCAGACCCCACCCATGCTACTTGCTTTCCTGCTTTCCAGCCTTGCTTTTGGGGTGCCACCCACCTGGCCGCTCCCGCTCCCACTCCCACTGACAGCAGCAGCCCCACTGTCCCCTCAGGCCGTGTCTCCTCAAGACCCCGCCTGCGTCCTGGACAGTGGTGAGCAAGCCAGGATTCCACACAGCGTCCCGGAGCCCCACTCACCCTCCGGGGCACAATCATGGAGATGGGCTCGATCAGGCCCTTGAGGGTCACCAGCTTGTAGAAGCGGAACACCTCGCAGGCCGACACATCCAGCCCGTGCTTGGGCATGACCCCTGTAGGGAGACACATGGCTCTGTGGGGTCCCCCCTGGGTGCCCCTGGCCCCTGCCTTGCGTCCTCTGACAGGCACAGGCTGGGGTCGGCGGGTGACGACCCTCACAGAGGGCAGGGACATGAGTGGGGCTCGAGCTGGGCTCTGCCCTCTCCAGCCAGGAGGCCTTGGCCACATCGCTGACCCCGGAACCCCCACCTCCACGTGAGACGTCAGGGACACTTGTTATCCGCCTGGCTCGGCCGAGCACATGGCCAGCGCTTGGGTCTTCCCCTGGACTGTGCACACTAGAGAGGGCTGCTCCTCCAGACAGGAATTCCAGGAGCTGGAGTGGGGGGGGGTTGTCCCCGTGGGATGTGGAGCCAGAGGTCTGGGTGTGACCTCACTTTTTCCTTTTGCAGGGCTGGAGACAGAGCCAGGGCCTCATGCATACTAGGTGAGTGCTCTGCCGTGGGCTCCGTCCCCAGACCCTTCCTGTTTGGTTCGTTTGGTTTGTTTTGAGACGAGGTCTAATTTTTCCAAGCTGGCCTTGAGCTTGTGATCCTCCTGCCTCAGCTTCCCAAGTAGCTGGGCTACAGATGTCCACCACCCTGCCTTGCTTGGGTTTAAATTCTGTTTCTGCCGTTGTGTAGCTCCGCGGGCCTGAGTTACTTCATTGCTTTGAACCTTTGGAAAGTGCCTGGCTCTTGGGCAATGCGTGGTATGACCCAGCTTTCCCCTCTGCTTCTGGATCTAGCCGTCCTCCTATTTGTACCTTGTCACCAGCCTCTTTCCTAAAAGGTAGTGGGGGTGACAGAGCTGGGGATGCAGAATGGTCCTTAGGACCAAGATGGCTCTGGGCCTGCCTTTTGCTGTTGGTCACCAAGGTGGCCCCTCCATGTCCCTGATGCTGGCCTTTGGCCCTTTCTGTGACACCAGACACAGAGGGCACAAGCCCATCTCTGCTCGAAGGAGGAGGGGTCACCTGCACAGGCAGGCACGGGATCCTGGAGGATTTGTCCCACCGGGTGACTGGGACCCCGGTATGTTGGTTCTGGATCACAGGCACCACCAGCCTTAGTGGACAGCGATGAAAATATCACTGTGAGACCAAAGAATGTCTGCCTGACTCTCCAGCCCTTGGCCCCGGGCTGAGTACCGGGCAGCTCGGGGCTACAGTGGTGGTGACCAGAACCTTCTGCCTCATCGGTGAGGACGGAGCAGCTGCTGAGGACGTGGGGGGTCAGCCCCACTCTGGGCTCAGTCTCCCCTCCATCTGCCCCCTTAGGCCACGGCTGAGCAGAAGTGACGGTGGACACAAAGGCCACAGAAGGACAGCGCCAGCTGCAGGGCAGGGACAGGCTGGCTACAGCAGGGCTGGCAGATCTCCCAGCGGGGAGTGCTGTGGGCCTTCAGCCAGGGTCCAGATTCCAGCCTGCAGCCCCAAGCCCTTACCGAGGCCTTTCTGCGGGGCTGGGGAGCGGAACTCCATGAGGTAACTCAGGTAGGGCTTCTCCGTGCTGATCTCGTAGTACCGGATGTTCCCGTCGCCCTGGGGTGGGTGAGTGGGGGGTGAGGGCCTGGCCGTGGGGAGGGGGACTGAGCCCACCGTGGCCCCAAGGTCTGCAGAAGAGAGCTGCCCTCGAGCTAGCCTGGGCCTCTAGACCTTGAAGAGCAGAGTAATGAGGAATTAGAAGATGGATGTTCTACTTGCCTACAACAATAAAATGGAGTTCTTTTGGGGATTCCTGGGAGCGGAGGGTGGAGATAGGGTGGGGCCACGTGTGTGTGTGTGTGTGTGTGTGTGTGTGTGTGTGTGTGCGCGCGCGCGCGTGTGTGCGCGCACGCACGCACACAGCCTTTTTGTTGTTGTTGTCATTATATTGGGATTGAACCAGTGGTACTCTACAACTGGGCTATGTCCCTAGACCTTTGGGCTCAAACTTATAGTTCTCCCGGGGAGCTGGGACTGCAGGCCTGTGCCACTGTGCAGGCACATAGGCAGCTTTTCTGGACAAACAAGACTGAATTCATCCAAGATCTCTGGGCGAGTGTTTCAAATTCCATCCCTGACACTGTCACTGCGCTTTTTGGGCTCTGACCTCTAGTCCAACGTCAAACCCCACTCCAACTCACCTTTCGGGAACTTTCAGTCACTGACACTTCAAAAAGAGCGAGTGTCAGCCTTGATGGGAAGGGGAAGACCCAGGGACCCAGACAAGTTCAGCCAGCTCTCATCCACGGGGTCATGGGATTCCCCAGGTACCCCTGCCCTCCCCCGCCCTCCACAACCTTTCCCGCCAGGTAGAGCATGTGGGTGTCAGCGTCATAGAAAGGGAACAGGAGGCCGGAGAGGCCATCAATCTCCTCCTCAGTCAGCGGCATGGATAGGTCCTCCTGTGGGAGGAGGTCAGGGGTCAGCCCATGTCCAGGCAGGAGGGAACAGCACTGTCCCAGACCCCAACCAATCCCCCCAAACTGCAGCCCCTTTGTGCCGAGACCCTCTGTGGTGTTTTTTTGTTGTTTCATTTTTTGAGACAGGGTGTCACTATATAGCCCAGGCTGGCCCTGAATTCATGGTGATCCTCCTGTCTCAGCCTCCCAGGTGCTGGGATCACAGGGGTGCGCCCACACCCAGCTCCCCTCAGGTGTTAAAAAGCCTGTTCCACCAAAAACAACAACAACAACAAAAAAGCCTTCCCACAGTGGGTGATAACTGCGTCCTTCATCTCAGAAAGTGACTTATTCATTTGTTTTTGGTACTGGGGATCAAACTCGGGACCTTGCGCTTGCGAGGCAGGCAGCAGAACCACTGAGCTAAATCCCCAGTCCTCAGAAAGTGACTTAGAGGCTTGCCTCAGGGACCCCTCCCCATGCCCACTACTTGCTGTGTGTCTCCTGGCAAGCCTCAGACCTCTCTGGAGCTCAGCCCTGATTCTAGAAAAAATGCTGTCAGCCCTGAAGCCCTCCTGGGCCTGCGCTGCTCCTCCCACCTACCTGGCGAGGCGGTGGGTGGGAAAGGGTGTGAGGAGGGACTAAATCTGGGTCCCCACTGGGCGCCACACCCCAGCCTCACACTGCTCTCGAAGCCTTGGGAAGTGGAGACCCCTGTGTTCCCTGCCCCTCCCCGCTGACCTGATCCCAGAGCGCGATCTGTCTCGTGTTCCACCTGGAGACCCCGGTGGTGAGGAGCCGCTTCATGTTGCCCAGGAACACCACCCGGTTCACCCTATGGTTTTTGCAGCTGGCCTCCTGGTGGGAACAGACAATGGGTGAGCAGGGACCCCAGACTTGGGTACTGTCGGCGTTGAACGGGGTTTCCCCAAAAGATGCTGTGTCTAGGACAGAGTGTTTCTTTACGTGGCAAAAAGGCCCTTGACGCTGGGATGAGATTACCCTGGATTATGGGGGCCTTGAATGCCATCGTGAGTGTCTATGAAGAGGGAGGTGAGATTACACAGGCACACGGAGGAGCGGGCAGAGGGCGGACTGTCACAGCCAAAAGCCCGAAGAGGAGCTGGAAGAGCAGAGAACAGGTTCTCCCTAGAGCCTCTGCAGGGAGGGTAGCCCCACAACGCCCTGATGGGGGACCTCTCCCTCCAGAGCTGTGAAAGAACAAGTGTCCCTGTCGTTTCAGCCACCTGCTTTGTGGTGAGCTTTTACAGCCGGCTTTGCTGAGTCTTCAGTCCCAGCTCTATCACCCCTCCCTCTACCACCCCAGAAAAAAGTGTACCCCCGGAGACCCCCTCCCCTTCTGCGGTCACATCCTCATCTACCCTAAGCACCCTCCCTATCTTTCTTTTTGAGACAGGGTCTCACTATGTAGTTGAACTGGAACTCACTATGTAGCCCAGGTTGGTCTCAAACTCACAGTGATCCTTCTGCCTCAGCCTCCCGAGTGCTGGGATTACAGACCTGCACCACCAAGCCCGGCTCTCCCTATCTTTTTCACAAGAGACATCCAAGTCTGTAACTTTCTCCAAGGCTCAGTGTCCTCCTGTGTAGAAGAGCAAGAGCCACAGTTCCCACCCTGGGGGTTGTCCCGAGACAGTGATAGAACCCTTTCCAGTACACGCCACACAGCAAAAGTTGGCTGCTGTGATCACTTCATCTGTGGTAGCAAGAGGTAACTCTCTGGCCTTACAATATCACACAGCCACATCCGGCCCCAATCTTTCTTGTGTAATAGGAAAACCCCCCATTTCATCTATGTTTTCCACCCTACCAGCCCTATCTTGACTGACTTGAGAGATTCCTGGAGGATTGGTGAGACACATTTCCGGGTGTGTCTGAGTCATGGAAGGGGGCCCTTGAGCACTCTATATGGCCTCCGGCCCCTTCGTCTCTGGCTCTTTTCCGTTCTCTGTTTCCCGGTTGCTATGAGTTGAGCAGCTTTCTTCCACCAGGCCCTTCTGCCTTGGAGCCAGCCAACCATGGACTGAACCCTCTGAAACCAAGATCCAAAATAAACCTCTCCTCCTTTAAATTGTGTATGTTTGGTAACAGCAACAAAAAGCTGACTAGCACATTCCATGACCGACAACAGTAGGTACTCGAGGGATGGTCCTCGGTCACTCCCAGCGACACTGAATCCCTTCTTCACATCTAAGATACAGAAGATCCAAAGACCACAAATGGAGCTAAGCTGGACAGTGCCCTGAGCCATTTCCCATGGGCTCAGCCCAGGCAGACGGCTAGGCAGTGAGTCCCCAATTCCCTTCTCCTGCATCCATGATGGGATTTGGTTAGCACCTGGGGATTCATCCCAACTGCAGGAGGGGGCTGCAGTGGGGACAGGAAAAGGATCCTGGGTCTGTCCCTCTCTGGGGCTCTCAGAGCAGGTGAGCTGTGAAAAAGCCTGGCACAGTCATTTCCTCCAGGCCAGGCTGGAAGCTGGGCCCTCGCTCCCAAAACCCTCCCTCTCCACCTCCCAAAAAATGCTGAGTTCCACCTGCAGAACACGGCCAGAGCGGGGCTCGATCACACGCAGCTTCTTGTCCTTGCACGTGGTGGTGAGCAGGCTGCCGTCTGTGTTGAAGGACATGCAGAGGATGACATCTGTGTGGCAGTCGATCATCTTCACTGGCTCGCCCACGTCCAGGTTCCAGATGAGGACCTGCAAGGGCAGATAAGGCACCTCCGCTCTTCGCCCCAGAACCCAGGGAGCGGCGCCCTTGCAGGGTCCGAGGCGGGCTGGGCTGCAGCGTGGGGTCACTGAGTTCTACACCGAGGGCGGCTGCACAGGGTGACGCTGCCCACTGATCTCTGTGTGCAGCTCCTAGCCCCAGCCTGGATGCACTTTGTGCAACTAGCAGGAAGGGAAGATGTCCCTTGCCTGTGCACCTGGCACAGCTCTTTTAAGGGCACGCGTGAGCCAGGAACAGGGCTGGAGTGTGGCTCCTCTTTCCTCTGTGAAGAGTTTTGCCCGCTACTTTTCCCTTGGGGCAAGAGCGGGTGCATTCAGGTTGGCACGGCCACGGACTCCTCTTCCTATTGGGAGGGCACCTCTTGGTTAGGAGGTGACCAGGCCAGGGTGTGGGCAGGGCACAGGCATATTCTCCATCAGCCCCTGCAGCCCCTGTGGGCTTCAGGAACAACAGGAGGCATGGAGTTGCCACACTGGCTGAGGACCTCAAGTAAAGGCTCCGCACAGGCCCCCTGAACACCCCTCCTCCCTCTCCGGCCTCCCGCCCTGCCTGCCGCACACCTTGTAGTCGTAGCCGGCACTGAAAAGGATGTTGTTGGTTGTGGGGTGCCACTCAACCAGGCCCACACGCCGGCTGTGGCCATGCAGCTGCAGCAGCGCCTCCGTCATGTTCCGCTTCAGCCCCCCCTCAGGGATCTCCCAGATCCGCACCTGCAGGGGCAGTGGCGGGCATTGGCTGGGTGGCAGGGACCAGAGATGCCAATGGTGGCACCTTCCCGAGACACCAGGCTTCCCAGGCCTCCTGGCCTGGGGAAGTGGGCAGAGCATGAACGAGGCCTGGGGGTGGAGGGTCCCAGGTATAGGGAGAGGGGACAGAGGCCAGCCCTCTGGCCTTGGGGACAGTTGTCTCTGGGGTGTCTGCAGGCCTGGCCCGGTGCTCTTGCTGGGTCTGTTTTAGCATCAAAGTAAAACGCCTGTCTTCCTCCCACCCACACGCTCCTAAGAACCCCCCTTCCTTCTGTCCCCAGCCCAGCTCCGGTTCACCACACCACAACCTCGTCCCCTGCTCCGGCCCCCACCAGGATGGCCACCAGCAGAGGTCCACACCGCCAGGAGGCCGGAGGCCTCTCCATGCAGAGAGCATACCATATAGCACACCTCATACCATACAGCACACCACATACACGCCATATACACACATATACCACACACACACACACACACACCCCAAATATCACACATATACATCATATACCATATATACATAGAACACACACAACAGACACCACACATATCATACACTGCGACACGCACACACACACGACGTACCACACACACCGTACCCTCCACACTGAAGACACATACCACAACACACAGAAACAGCACACACACTTTTTCTTTTACTCACACACACACACACACACACCCCAAATATCACACATATACATCATATACCATATATACATAGAACACACACAACAGACACCACACATATCATACACTGCGACACGCACACACACACGACGTACCACACACACCGTACCCTCCACACTGAAGACACATACCACAACACACAGAAACAGCACACACACTTTTTCTTTTACTCAAAAAGGATACTGTTACATATGTTACTCAACTTGCTTCTTTCATGTATCTCCAGATAGCAGGCAGTTTCCCACACCACTACGAGTAGATCTAATTTGGCCAGAGAGACATGTGTTGTGTGACTGTCCCAAGGCGAACACGGTCAACCTGTATCAGCCAGACACAGTGGCACATGACTGTAATCCCAGCACTCTGGGAGGCTGAGGCAGGAGGAGTGAAAGTTCGAATCCCTGTGGGCAATTTAGTGACTTAGCAAGGCCCTGTCTCAAAACAAAAAATAAAAACAGGGCTAGGGATACAGGTCAGCGTGAGGGCCCTAGGTTCAATTCTTATAGCACTGCAGCAACAACAACAACAAACCAAAGCACACAATACATTCCTTGATGAACATCCTCAGAACATCCGCCCTGGTTTTTATCAGTGCCTCTAAAACAACCTTTGATGAGGCCGATTTCAGGGTCAGTACCATAACTCAGCGACAGAGCGCTGTCCGGCAGGCTGACTTTTGTCTACCTGATTGGTCCAAGCTCTCTCGCCATGGTCTGGATGTGCACTTCGTGGCCTTGTCTGGTGCTTACGGCCGCACTTGTCTGCCCCTGAGTGGGTCTTGTGCTTCATCAGCCACCCTTCTCAGCTGCCTCCCCAACCAAACGCCGGCTCCCAGAGACCAGAGATGGTCCCTCGTGTAAGGAAGGGAGGGCCCGAGAAGGGTGTGGTTAGAAGAAGGGCCTGAGGGTCTGAAAAGCTGGGCTGAGGGTGTGGGGTGGCTGGGAAGACAGCAGGGTGATGAGTGTGCGGGGAGCTGGCTGGTGGGTGTCACAACTCGGCACAGAGGCCTCAAGGCGCCCTGCTTGGGCCGGGTCTCCTGGAACAAACTCATGCCTGAGCAGCCAAGCTCACAGAGGATCCCTCGGTCACCCTACGAGGCAGGGACACGGGGGTGTGCAGTGACCTCAGCCTGAGTGACTCTGTGTGAGCCACTTCACTTTGCTGAAGCTCAGTCTGCAAAGTCAATAATGGAGAGCCGTGGTCCTCACAGAGCCTGCGGGTCAGACCAAAGTGGGCGTCAGAGTCACGAGAGCTGATTTCTTGAGGTGACAGCTCTGTAGATGGCAGATCAGTCGGGACCCAGACCCCAGCCGCTGGCCCGGACCAAAGTGTCAGGGAGCAATGAACCAGGGGAGGGAGCCCAAAGAGCTGCTTTCACTACTGGTGTCAGATGGAGGATCCCAGGCAGGGCTTGGGGGACTCGGATGGACAGACGTCCCAAAGACAGACAGCCAGGCTGCTGTGTCCCCACTTGATACCAGCCCTTCCCCTCCTACAGCCCAGTTTCCTCAGCCACACATAGACACGGATTTCCTCCAACTGACCACCGACATTTCTCTGTTTTTCCATCACTGTTTCATTCTGGGTCGGAAGGACACCGCTCTGCTCACCCTCAGCTGCAGTCAACAGTCAACACCAGGCGCAGCCTGAGCTCAGGGCAGGAGCTGCAGCTCAAAGTGGGCCTAGGTCACCAAGAAAGGGACTCCAGGCCTTTGGCAATTTGCTGCAAACAAACAGTGGCTGGGATGTGGGAGGAGCACTTGGCTCTGCCCAAAGGGACTTGAGTTCAACAGGAAACTCAAGAGGGTCTCTGGAAGGAAGGGGCGGGGAGATGGAGTGGCCTGGGACTGTCCCTTTCCTGACTGTCTCTCTCAGAGCCTTGCTTAACTCAATTACATCCAACCCAGCAGAAAACGTGGTGCCCCTCCAGGGGGCAAGGCAGCCGGGCAGGGTGGCTAATAAAAGCCACAAGACCCACTGTCCCTGTGCATGGGGAGATGCAGTGGTCACCAAAGCAAGGTCTCTGTGGCCTCACATATTCCATTCAGATCCCAGCTCTAATCATATGGCTGTGGGACTTTGGCCAAGTTACTCAGCCTCTCTGAGTATCAATCTTTATCTGAAAGACCCTCATATAACACAGTCGCTGTGGAGACTGAAAACAAAATCCATACATCACCGAGCACTTACTAATACCTAAGGATGTTCACTTAATTTTAAGGATTATACACAACTTTTGCATAGGTCAAACTGTAGATGTGATTTTTATTTTTGTTGCCCCCTCTGGAGTGAATACATATGGTATGAAGTTTGTCTCCCTTTTATAGAACGTGGCATACATTTAAATTTCATCTTCAAAATGCTGGTTTGGGGGGTGGCTAGCATGACGAGGCCCTGCATTTGATCCTCAATACACACACACACACACGCACACACGCACACACACACACACGCACACACGCACTCACACACGCATGCATGCACCCTTTTTGTGACTACAGAGGTTTCTGGTTGGATCTCTCGAGGGTCTCGATTACTCAGTGACTTAGGACCAGGGCCTATTTAGTGCCTCTGATGATGCTGCTCCTAAGAGAAAGAATGTTCCACTTAGAGGACATGCTTGTTACACAGCTCCAGCAGACAGATACTACTTTGTATATATGGGGTAGGAGCTCAGAGAAGATACTGAAGTTCATAGAGAGCAAAATCTCTGGGATGAGACCTGAATTTGAACTCCTTATTATTTGCTAAAAAACAGATTGTTTTACTAAAACACAGATAGTGTTGAGAGGACAGGAGAGTAAATGAGTTTTGGCAACATCTGGAAACATCTGGACACGTCTAGTGTAGCTGTACACAGTACCCTGGCCACTCTGCAGATCTGAGGCCCAGCACCAAGAGCTCAGATGCTTCTGCTCTTGCTGCAAGAAGAGAGGAGCGGGGAGGAGTCTGCTGGGACCTCCAAGGCTGCTGGCCTCTCATCTCCCCAATTCTGGCCAATTATCCTATCACCTGAGACTGGAAACTAAGTTATTTGTCACTGCCCTAAACCCAGGGTATAGTCTCTCAGCCTACCTTGACCTCAGAACTTCTGGACACCTCACACTGTCCACACAGAAAGACAAACCACACCAGCCTCAGCGAGGCAGGAGAGGCCATGAGAGAGGCCAGGATGTCCAGGAGGGGACAGGAAGGGTCTGGGGGAGGCCGCTGCAGGCTCCTTGCCCCAGCTCCGCTCCGACAGCCCAGAGAGGGCACTGTGCCCGCCAGCCTGCTCCAGGATCAGAGCCCAGCTGCCCCAGTCCGGTCAGACACCTCATCATCACGGACACACTGAGAGATGCACCGCAAAGGACGTCACTGCACGAATGGCACAGGGCACACACACGCACACCAACAAGCGGAAGTTGACTACACGACGGTGCTCCCAGGCCATGGACCTGCACAGACAGCCTGCTTCCTAGCACAGCACAAATGAGGCATAAAAGGGAAGAAGTGACTCACCTGTGCAGGGCACCTACCACGTGCAGAGCCAGCAGGGCTGGAAGATGCCGTGGGTGTGAGCAGCCTGTGAATGCAGAGGTCACAAACACAGTGACCACAGCCTTCACGACAAACACGGCGCACTGGGCTGCACTGTGTTCATAAAAAGATGCTCCCTTCCTTTAGCAGCAAGTGAGCTGTAACCTTTTAGCTTTATACACCTTCAGTTTTAGAGAATTTGCTGCCTCTCTTGTAACTGCACTTAGCTGAAAACACAAACTCGTGTAAAAACACTTCCTTTCCTTCTGTGGGAAAAGTGGCACTGATCCTTGTGTGGGCCCCAGCTTTTTCCTATTCTTTTTCTTTCAAAATTAAAAAATTGTTATTTATCTGAAATATATAAAGAAATGGCAATAACTTGTATGCACACTAACAAAATATTTTTATAAGCACCAAATATAACAGTATCCTATTCTTTTGCTTTTTTCCTATTTCTAAAATGTTTTATTTTCCTTTTTGAACTTTTTGTTACAAATAGAGACACAAACATACAGAGAAATTTAGGCATACAAAGGGTCAGAATCACCCGTATTCCTACTTAACTTTCTCTCTCTCTCTCTCTCTCTCTCTCTCTCTCTCTCTCTCTTGTTTTTGAGATAGGGTCTCACTGCATAGTTCAGGCTGGCCTTGGCCTCACTATGTAGTCCAGCCTGGCTTCCAACTTGTGGTGATCCTCCTGTCTCAGCCTCCCCAGTGCTGGGACTGCAGGTGTGTGCCACCACACCCGGCTAAGG